AAAAATATAGAAATACAATATCATAGGATTATAAACCGAAAGAAAAAGATATATTTTATGAGAAAACGTGAAAGTTTTCGTCAGGACACATTTCTTTCAGCAGTAATAAGTGTATATATTTGTTTACAAGCATTGCTATTTTAGCAAACATTGTAATTTATTCACTTATGAGTAAATAATTACATATAAAGAAACATAAGTATTTTATAATAGAAATAATTCTTAGGCGTTGTTAATTTACGAAATAATGGTAATCAGAATTTATCAATTTCATTCAATACGTTAAACAATTTAGATTTATTGTTAAAACATTGTCAAAATATTTGCAATGAAGCAGTTTTTAAATAAAATTTTCAGCTATACATTGATTTAAATGTGTCATAAATTTCGTTTTATGCATTAAAGTTTAAAATATTCAGACGCATATTTTCTTTAAGCTATTTCAAAAACTAAGTGTGGGATAAATTCAAGTTTTAAAAAGCCTGGCATTGTATACTCTAATTACTTTAATATAATTATTAAAAATATATAAATACAATATCATAGAATTATAAACAGAAAGAAAAAATATATATTTTGTGTCCTGACGAAGGCGTAAAAGCTTTCGTCGGGACACATTTCTTTCTGCAGTAACAAGTGCATATACTTGCTTACAAGCATTGCTATTTTAACAAACACTGTAATTTATTCACTTATGAGTAAATAATTTCATATAAAGATACATAAGTATTTATAATAGAAATAATTCTTAGGCGTTATTAATTTATAAAATAATGGTAATCAGAATTTATCAATTTTAAATAAGACAATTTAGATTTAATGTTAAAACATATGACAAAATATTTGCAATGAAGCTGTTTTTAAATACAAATTTTAGCTATACATTGTTTTAAATGTGTCATAAATTTCGTTTTATGCAATAAAATTTAAAATATTCAGACGCACATTTTCTTTAAATTATTTCAAAAAATGTAATTGTGTTTTTTCTAGAATTAAAAATTGTTTACTTCAGACTGCATATAAGATTTTTGAGGATTGAATAGTTAAGTGTTTTCTAACAGATTGGAAAGAGTTGCTTGCTATACAGAAAATACAGTAGAATGAAGAAATTATGATTTGTTCAAAATATTTTAGATAATTAATTTGTAGTATTGTGTAACTAGTGTTCGAGCCTAACAGTAATATATAATNATATATATATAGATATAGATATATATATATATACTAGGTAAAATTATAAATTACTAATCAATTAGATATTGTTACTAGTTATCAGTTAGATATTGTTACTAATCAATTATCAAATATGTTTTCAACCAATCATAATTTCATCATTCTACTGTATTTTCTGTATAACAAACAATTCTTTCAAATTTGTTGGAAATCAAATTTTGTTAAAAAACACACTTATATGTTCAATACCTAAAACTTTTATGCGTATTCTGCGGTAAAAAATTTGATTTTCTAAATAGAAAAAAAAAAAAAAATTTTAAAATAGCTTAAAAAATATACATCAGAATATTTTTAATTTTTTCGTATGAAGCTAATTTTATGATACATTTTAAAACAACGTACAGTTGAAAATGTTACTAAAAAATTTTTCATCGCAAAGATTTTGCCAAAGTTTTAACAATAAATATTAATTTATCCAACTTGTTAAAATGAAATTGATAAATTTTGCTCTCTATTGTTTCATAAATTAATAACCATTAAGAATTATTTATATAATAGATAATTTATGATAATAGATAATTTATGATAATATATCTGTAGTTATTTACTCATAATTGAAGAAATTATAATGTTTGTTAAATTAGAAATGCGAGAAAATTAAAATAATTAATAAAATATTCAATATTTTAATATAATAATTTATTCAATAACATTTTTAGCATGATGTAGAATATACTAGTATATTTGAATAACTTTTGTTTCAGAAATGCAATTTAATCTTGAAATTTATAAAGCTTGCGTATCAATTTATTATGTTTTAATATCTTCAAAAATTGAATAAAATATAATAATTTAAATAAGTCGTCGAAGAGCTTTTTATTCTGGACGCAGTTCAGAAAGCGTGTTTAAGGAAATAATCATAGTTCAAATTGCGCGTCTAAAAAAATGGACACTCCGAAGTCTCGTGTTTAAGAAACTGGACATATTATTTGGTTTTAAATATACAAATCCATCGGTTAGTTAGAAAATGTTATCACCTATTTCCTTAATTATCACTTCAATTTTATTTGCTTATATAAGCTGCAAATAAATAGAGTCCAATATAGAATAAAATTTAATAAAAACACAGAAAGAATTAAAGAAGGAAAAAACACATTAAATGGAAACATAAAACTAATAAAAATATTGGAAATTAAAAAAAAAATTAAAAATCAACCAAAATCAAACAAAATAATAAGAAGAAATATAATCTTGTCATTGGCTCGCACGATTTTATCCGCAAAGAAAGCGCCATCCAATACTCTATTAATAGAATCAGAGAAAAATATATCAGCACAATAATATGAGAAACAACGAAAGGGAAAAAAGAAAGAGACTGATTCAAAAATAAAGTTGTATCAAGGAAAAAATCACTAATATTCTGGAAAACAAAACACACATACAAATAAAGACATACAGACTCATCTACAGGGTAGAACGGTGCTTACGTGAAAAAATTAATTTTTATTTCATCACTCTAATTAAACAGCAAAAATCCCCTTCTGACTACCATGATTTAGAAATATTTTCGTAACTAAATTTCCAGATTTCGAAATATGAAAATAAAGCGCAAATTGAGGATTGTGGGATATGTCAAATTTTTTTTAAGAGCGTTTCTACGAAAATAAGAAACCACATTAAAATTTTTCTGCTTCCTTGGATTGGTCCAAAAACTAGATTTGCGCAAGAAAATAATCTAATATAATGGATAATTCAATGTTTATTCTTAATAAAAATAAAATTTTTAATACATTTTAATTCAATGATTTTTACAGTAATAGTTAGCATTTATTGAATAATACTGACAGAGATGGTTGATTAGTTAAAAAAAGGTTTCAAATTTCCCCGAATTGAATTTCCACATAGTAAAGATATTAATCTAGATAACTAATAATTTTTTATAAAAATACATTAATTTGTACATTTTAATACACAATTCACTCAATGATTTCATATAGCATTTAATTAAATTTGTTTTAATTGTTTTTAAACAAAGTTGGAAAAAGTCTGTCTATTTTTTTCCTTGGATTAATAAATAGTGCCGCAAATTTTTTTTAATTCCATTTATTTGATTAAAATAAATATTTAATTAAACTTTTTTAGAAACATTTAAATTTCATGTAATAGTTTTATTAAACTTAAAATCATTCCTTTTACCCTATATGTCAACATTTCTTCTTTTTTTAATACAAAAGTACTAAAATTATCGCCATGATTTCAAAGAAATACTTATTATTCAGGATAAATGTTACTTAAGAAAATTATATGATTTTGAAATTAAAAATAATTTAAAATATCTATAAATTTAAAAGGAAATTTGATATTTAGCGTATAATTTTTTTTAATTAGTGTGAAGCTAATTTAGCCAGAAGTGACGAAAACTTCCATCTACATGAATAAAAAGATGTTTTCCATTTTAGAGATAATTATTAAATTGACGCATATTAATCAGAATTATCCAGTAATCGAATTCACAATTAATATTTTTATAGGATATTTTAATAATCATAGTAATAAGTCAAAAGAATACTTCTTAGTTCAGAGAGTGAGGTGTCATTAAAGAAATCTTAGAAAAACAGAAAGTCGCAAGCGATGTGATTCTGTTGAATGAAACCTAAAATAGGTTGATTCATTATAATAAAGCATGAAAAACCTACTTCACTGATATTGTTAATAGTTTTATTTAAAAGAGCGACAGGTTCAGTTAAGTGAGTATTAGAACCAGAAATGATTTTTCTAAATTTGATAGTAATTTAATGAAATTTTAGATTATTCAGAATGGAAATTACACATTACTTGTTTTAATGCTTTACCTGTTATTGAAAGCTAAAAACTTTTTTTTGATAATATTATTATTTAAATTATTGGATTTGAATTTTTTCGATTCATTAATTCCTTATTTAAAAGTTCAGCATTGATTTTTTTACAAAACATGGCACAAGTTTCGGGTACGATGCTAAGAAATGCTGACACTAACCAAACTCTTGCGATCATGGTGAAAACTTTACGACTGGTCATTTTCCAGGAATGGTTGAAAGGATAAACGATCGCATAATAACGATCCAGGCTAATACAGCATAGGTGTAGAATCGAAGTTGTTGAAAAAAGAACGTCACAGGTATTCTAGAAATCGCATAGGAATCGGCCTAATTTCTAATTTTCACTTATTGTGCGAACGGCATTAAATGTCATAGCAAACAGAGCCACAAAAATGTCAGCGCAGACCAGAGATACTACGAAATAATTAGTGTGGCTTTTTAATTTTGGGCTCTGGTAAACACTGGTGATAACGAGAGCATTTCCAAGGACTGCAGACAAAATAAATGCAATTAAAACAATAGATTTTAAAAGGAGTATGAGAATGTCCCCCCATACAATTACAGAGGATTCTGTGTCTTTTTCCGAAGTTTCATTAAATGTTTGGTTCGTTTCAGATCGAAAATGGCACTTTTTATACGCTAAATTTAAAACGCTAGTTGCTTCCTTTAACGCAGTTATTTTATTGAAGCTAACCCAACAAAGACATAAATTCTGGCCATCTTCGAAATTACTGACAGTACTGATTGAAAAGTGACGGTGCAAATTACTGTCAGCTGGGTTGATTGCTGGGCCGCCCTTTGAACTTTTGCCAACATTGTAGGAAGAGTTGGGCCTGTACTTCACAAACAGCCCCATCGCGTCAGTCTGAATCTACCCAATGGGCCACCGAATTAAAGTTGTCTGCTGCCGCCAGTGAAGCGTTCGAGCGAGTAACTGTAACTGTGAAGTTATTGTTTACTAAAAGAATTACGTAGCTCGTTGGAAAGCGCAAGTTGCGGACATTGATCTTGTCTTAAAGATTCTTATAATTTTCAAAAAAGGTAAGGTTTTATTTTTTTCTTTTACATTGAAGTTTTTATTTTAATCATTATTGATTTACTATTGTTCAAATATGTTTACGACGTGCAGATTTCGGTTTGCAAGGAACCGGGTTTGAAGTGCTGTTTTAGATGGGCTATCATCTTTATTCAACTAATACATCATAATTAACACCTTTCTAAGATAGAAAAATAAAAAATTGTAAAATTAATTCAATGAAAAACTACAGACAAATGTTTTATCAACACCAAGATCGCCGCCAAATTTTTGGCGACAATCGAGCAGTAGCACGCCAAAAACAAATATGAATTCTGTTGTATGATGACTCTTTAAGTGCAATTCATAATATGTTGTATATTAAGTACAATTCATAATAATATGTTAATATAAATCAGGTTTATCTAAGTATATTAAGAAAATAGGTTTGTATAATAATCAAGAATTTTCATTAAAACTTATTTCATTATATTAAATAATATTTAGATTTTAGTTAATTAATTGCTTAGTAATATTGAAAATGTTTTCTGTATTATGTATTTCATTTTAATGAAATTTTGAGCTAAATTCAAGTGTAAAAATAGGTAAAGGTCTAATAATTTATATTTAATAGTTTAAATTAAGATGAATAAGTTATTTGGACATGTTAATATAAATAATTACGGAGAATCATGCTGTGAATTATTAAACAACCTAAAAAAATGTAGATTATGGAAAGTTTTTTAGCATGCAGTTGCTCATACTTAATTGTATATTGGCTAACCCCATTTACACAAAAAGAAATATTACAAAATTCTTTTATATTTTAAAATCAATGTTAAGTTACTTCATAATTTTTGTTAAAAGTTAAATGAATAATGTTTTTATTGTGAATTTCAAGTTAATATTTACATAAAAATATGCACGATTTTTATAGGGATTACAAAAATATATAAAAGTTCAATACAATATGAAAATAAAATTAATAATCAATAAAAATAACAAACAACTCTTTTTCTATTAGCTTTAAAAATGTTAGAAAACCGGTGACAGTTCTCCATGAATTTCTATAAGTTTTCTTATTACCTACTGTGTTTATTATTATTAATTTAATGAACTCGCTCTCGTATTGGTAACGTGCGATCAAAATTTCTACTTTTCGGCTAGTTAGAGCACTAAAATCTACAGGAGCTCTGTGCTTGTTGACAATTTCAATTACAATCATTTCCTGACCGCTATAGACTGAGTACAATACCATTTTATTGACAAATACAACTTCTTAGAAGGATGTTTGACCACTTTCGAAGCAGCCGAGGTGCTTCAAATTTAACTTGTATCCTATTGAGAAAACAAGTTATAACTGCTTCCGAATCACTGAAAGCTAAATTTATAATAATTTTTTGCAGAGAATCGTTTAGAGGAAATTAAAATTTTTGAATTAACTCCTTGAAAGATTTTTAATGCTAACCTTATATTTTGTGATCCTAGAGCCGAACTTAGAAAATTTTGTCTTTTGATTGTTCACAATTCTGTTAAGAAAATTTCCTGGCTTTCAAGTTATTTCTCTCATTCTAATTTCTAAAAAATATTATTCTAATTTTCATTCAAACTTTCTGGGTGCCCGTTGTGTAATGCTTTTTAAATTTTTGCTAAAAGTTAAGCGAAAAATATTTTTACTGTATATCTCAAGTTAATATTCACATGAAAATAAGACCTTTTTTTTTCTTTTAGCTTTTTAAACCTGTGCCAGTCCTCCATGAATTTCTGTAAGTTTCATTACTTAATGTGTTTATTATTTATTGAATTAATTCGCTTTCATGTTTGTAACATTGGTAACTTGCAATTGAAATTTCTACTATTTTCCAACTGAGTAAAGTACTGCGTCTCTGTGCTTATCAACTTCACCTTCCAAGTAGCTGAAATGCTCCAAATTCGACTCTTGTTCCATTGACAACTTACATCTTACCACTTAAAGGAATTTTTTTTCTTAAACTAAATATCAAATCCTTACATTGAGTTTTGTATAAAAGTGCTAGGCTGATATAATTATTAGTTTATTAGACACAATATGCTTTAATATTAGATTCCATTGAACACTAATTTAAATGTAAATTTACGAGTAGTTTGAAACACAGCTGAACGAAAAAATCGAGCAGCTTTTTTTATTGATAATTTTCTTATTTTATTTACATAATCTGTTTTGGCTTGAGCAAAAGAGTTGTTGTTTGCTAGTCAATCTAACCGCAGCATAGTAAGTGTTTAAACAAACATGTTTTAAATTATTGTAATAGGGGGCGAACCATATGGAAACGACAAAAATTTGATTATAATCAATTGGAAAAGTTTTCTTCAAGATAAATTAAATTTAAAAAATAGCTTTTATGTAAAACTGTTCTATTTTGAATAAATTACATTAAGAAAAGCAACTATGACTAACCAATTCCGCTGATACAGACAAATTTTTAGATTTATTAATAGTTAAACTGATTTATCAATTAACTTTTTTTTATCATCTGCAGAATCTTTGATGTGCATAAATAATTTAATATTATTTTGAGAAATAGTATTTTAATTATTATTGTTTGAATTATGATTTTAAAGAAGGATTAGGGACATTTTAATGTATTAAGCGAATTCATTTATAAAATAGAGTGAATTCTCACTTATGCACCAGTCTTAGGGACCAAGAGAAAAAGTGTATAAGATTTTTAAAACATTAAGTTCATGCAGATAAGAAGAGCTTCAGATTCAACAAAAGCTATATTTACAATAATTTTTTGCCGAGAATCTTTTAGTGGAAATAAAAAAATAAATTTCAATTAACTCTTTGGAAGATTTTCTACGCTAACCTTATATTTTGTGATCCCAGAGCCGAACTTAGAAAATTTTGTTGTTTCATTGTCGACAATTCTGTTAATAAAATTTCCTTGCCTACAAGTTATTTTTCTCATTCTAATTTCTAAAAAATATTATCCTAATTTTTATTTAATCTTTTTGGGTGTCCGTTGTGTAATGCTTTTTAAATTTCTGCTAAAAGTTTACCGAAAAATATTTTTACTGCATATCTAAAGGTAATATTTGCATAAAAATAAGACCCTTTTTTTCATTTTAGTTCGTCAAATGTTGGTAAACCTGTGCCAGTCCACCATGAATTTCTGTAAGTTTTATTACTTTCATCATCTGCAGAATCTTCGATGCGCATAAATAATTTAATATTTTGAGAAGTATTATTTGATTTATGATTTTAAAGAAGGATTAGTGACATTTTAATGTATTCAGCAAATTCATTTATAAAATACAGTGAATTCTCGTAATGCTTCAGTCTTTGGGACCAAGAGAAAAAATCCCTAACATTTTAAAAACAATAAGTTCATACAAATAAGAGAAGCTAGATAGAAAAGTTTCAATAGCGGGATAAAACTACAAATAGTCGTGAACAGTGGCTGAATCTCCTACTTTTTTTTTTTTTAGTAATTTTGAAGAACGATTTTGTCATCTCTGTTTTCGCTGATACTGGATAATAGTAATCGCTGTAGCTTTACATTCCTTGACCAAAAACTAACGTTTTAATTGGTGGTGGGAAAGAAACTGTGCATGATAAATTTTGAAAGCATATGGGTGGTATATATGGTGGTTTCAATGTGGGTGGTGTGATAGATAAGACACCTTATTCAATATCATGGAAAAAAATGTCCTATATGAAAAATGAAATATATTACTAGATCCAGCGACTTATTTCTTTTTATCTGTAACGAAGATTGTTTATTTGCTTTAATCTTTAATCTAAAAACTTTTTCTAAAAAATGTGATTATTTTCTTCTATTTAAACAAAAAATAAAATCAAGATTTTTGTCTTTTGAAGAAAATTGTGTGTTGAATTGAAATATTTATTTTCTGAATGATGCGTAAAGAATTATAATTATCATTATTTTCCTATATAATGATCAAGGACCCTTGAAAACCTTTGTATATATGCAAAAGGCACATAAAAGAGGTTAAGCAGAAGTGATAGGTCACTGTATGTAGTTTTATATTTTAATAATGGTTATTAATTTTCATTTTAATCGTTCACTTCCCTATTCAATGAAAAACAGTGTTATATTTATTAATGTATATAAAATATTTTTTTAAATTTTATTAAGTACAATAAGATTTTGATTGTGAAAACACAATCATATTTAAAAACCTACCTTGTTAACATAGCTTAAAAACATGTAGGTTAAAGAGAAAAAAATTAACGACAAAGTACTGATTTGAAGCATCTTAAAACTAACCTGTACAATATTGAATGCCTTCTAAGACATTATTTGGTAGAACAATTTTTTAGTCCAAGCAAGTAAAATGCCCCGTAAAAGTTAAAAGGTTTTTTTATAAAATGAGTAAGCAAATTTAATTTATGGTAACTAAGAAATAATGTTAATAACACCTACATTTCACTTATTTATCTATTCTTAAATAGTAGAAAATATTTTAATTTGGCAAAAATATACCTTTTTGAAAACAAAATTTTTTCTTGAAACAGAAGTTTAAAATGTAAACACATTAAGAACCTCTAAACTAACATTTAAGTGCGACAGAAGCAAAAAATGTTATAGAAATCTCACGATTTCCTTATGAGTTAAACGAGATGAAAAACATCAGAACCAGTTTAATTGCATGTTGAAATGTTGAAGTTTTTAAAGATTCTTTTTTAACTTTCCTGTCCTCTGGCAATCAAGCAGGTTTAAATATTTTCAGTCCAGTTTTCCTCTGAATTATTTATTAGATTTAAATAGGGTTTTTTTTCTTTTCGTTTGTGACCCTTAATGTGTGTATCCTATTACAAAGTTTCTCTACTAGAATTCGAAGAGTATATATTGAAAGTGGTTAATGTGCAACACCTTCTATACTAATCTACAGAAAATGACAACTAATTTTTCTGTATCAAATGAAAATGCAGTGTACCTCCTCGAGAAGGGCCAACCGTCCTCACTGCCCTTTGACGACACTGCCTGATAATATTTCTTTTAAAAAATTAAATGTGTAAATGATAATTACGCAATTTTAAAATTATTCGTGTTAATAGGTTTGATTCTGATACCATTACAAATATTTACTTTGTTAGGATTTTTCTCAACTGGCTAAATTTTTAAAAGTTTTTTTGGTGTCCATAAGTTTATTAATAGATTTTTAAAAAAATTTTGAAATGAATATTTTTCTTTAAAAAATGTACCTTTAAATATTTTTTTTCATAACATTTAGTTTAAATTATAGAAAAAGCCTTCAAGTTTCAAATTATTTTTTTTTTAAGTTTGCACAATGATTTTCTATTAGCATGTATTTTTTTTTCGTAGTGTAAAAATTTTTCTCATTTTGATAATGAGTGAGAACTGCTTTTTGAAATATGCATGTAAAATAGTAGGTATAAGATGGTAATTTTACAGTCGTTAAGAATCGAATTCAGCTATTTATTACATAATAGTACACATTTTGTTAAATATTTACGGTGTTAATTAAACATCTGAACCAGTTATATAAAAACATTACGGAAATCGTGACATTGGTCAAATCTGTCGTTATTCTTATCTAGTTCTTGTGTTTTTTATGTAAGGAAAACATTAATTTCACGGAGCATCACCATTAAAGTAATTTAAGAATTTATTGAATTATAAAGTTATTACAGAATTGGAAAATCATCTGCCTTTTTAACTAGCAAATTTTGAGCGACCTTTTTTCATATATTACTGAATTGGAATCAATTCAATACATATTATTGCTTTGATGCCTATTTTAATATGAAAAATGTTGTAAATTTTGAATTTTATTTGTCAAAGGTATACAATTAAAAATTTAATATTAAAAGTAAAGCGAAAAGAAATACAGTTGATAAATTCGTGCATGTAAGTTATATAAGTAATTTTTTTTCTATACCTTTCCTTGAAACAATAATTTACATTAGAATATCATACTTGTTTTAAATATTAAAAGCAATAAAATTGAGCATCATAAAATTAATAAAGAAGAAAATCTGCATGTTTTTGAAAATTAAATATTTTCTGAGAAAAGGTGTGCACAAAATAAAAAAGTGAACACCCTGAATAACTTTTCATTTAACCGTCAGATTTTCATGTACTAGGTGTCAATCTTAATGGGTTCATGAGTTAATATTCAATAATTTCATTCAGAAAGGAATTTTATGTTCAAAATCTTTCTAAATTATAAGACAGGTGTATGTTTGCATGATGTTACAATATGTATTATGATGAGTCAAAATTTATCAATGAAATGATAAAAGCAAAAACTTTTCGATAGAAATTTTAGTTTTATAAGCTCATTTTCACAAAAATACTTATGTTGCTTAAAATACATGATTTGCATAATTTTTATTTTAATATCCTCTCTTTCAGGATTTTGAAAAATGTCAAGCATTTGCTGCAGTTTTATTGAAGTTTATCAGAACTCTTCTATGCTATTCCTAGTGATTCTATGTAGACAAAGATATTTATTTCTCTGTTGTTTTTATTATTTTTAAAATTAAATAGAAATAGAAATTTGTGTAATATTTGTATTGATTAAGGATATGTCTTTGTATTTATATGTCTCTGTATAATAAAATGTTTGCAAGAAACAATGTTGATCATGTATTTAACTAATTTCAGGGTACATTCAATTCATTACATGAGATAACCAGGTGACTACATTAGTGCATTTTTGTATATATACTAAATATAATCAGCAGATAAATATAATCAGCTAAATATAATCAGCAGAACATGAATTCATGATCAGTACCGCACTAAATTATCATCTGTAGACAGCTTCTTAATATTATCGGCTGTAGGTTGTATTTATTTCTGTATAGGGAAATGGTACAATAGTATCACTAGATTCCTTAAGAACACAGCTTTTATTTTAAAACATATATACTGACTACAAGTTATTATATACATATATATTGACTACAAGTTAAAACTTGAAAAATTCCTTGTGAGATACAGAATTTTCTCAATTCTGGACAGCAGTTTTATTATTCTGCTTTTAGGTGGAATAGCAGTGTAAAGAAAAAATTATTATGTATGTTTACCTAGTTTAAAAATGTATTAATAAGTGGAAACATAGATTGTACACGGCAAATCTTTGATACTAAAGGGTTGAACTGTGTAGAAAATATTTTTCTTTGCATAAAGCAATTTAAATGAAAAAATTACCTAAAAATATTTTCTTAGTTCATATATTAATAATTTAGTCAGAAAGGGATTAGATAGCTAGATAATTAGTTAGCTAATTGAATTAAATAAAAATTAGACTTGTGGGTTTTAATTACTCCTGTAACTAGGTCAATGACCTCTCGTAAATCTCAATAGACTAAAGGGATGCTGCTGGGGGGTATATAAATTACTGGCCCTCAATTATTGATTCATTGATTACCCTCTACTAGAAAATGTCGGGCAATCACTCACCCTGCGCATTTTAGACAATAAATGCTGGGTTAAGTACTACTGGACATTGGTAAGCCAATATTGTTCGCTCGACAAGAGGCCAGCCATACACTTTAGTACAGTTGAAAGTAACTTAGAGCCGGCACAGACCCGTCGTTTTAGCTGGTGGAAAACAGCAGTTTTGTGGAGCTGGACCTACAGATTTGTTTTTGCTGGGAAGTCACCTGCAGCCACCGATGTTTAAAAGTTTTGAGGCCCTGAAAAGGAGGAAACTTTCTATCCTATTCCTGGAGAAACTTCGAAGTTAGTGGCAGCTTTCCGTTTATTTATTTAACTGCCTTTTTAAGATTCCTAGTTAAGGGAGGAGGACGCAGCTTTGTTAGAATGCGTGATGTGTTGTATGAGAATGCGTGATCATCATCAAAGTCAAGGATGGAGAAAAAATGGTAATAGCGATGCCAGTTAATGCAATGCTGTCTCCAATTCTACGTGCTATTAACAACATAAAGCTGAAATTCTTTCATTTACACAAGCATACAAAATTTTCCAAACTAATTTTTATTGCATTCCGTTTGCTGCTTTTACATATGAAAGCAGTTTTTAAAGTTAACATTTCTAGTCCAAGGATATTTTTCTTAAATCAAAGTAAGGCAGTTTGGATGATATTATTCATCTATTTAAATAATAAAAACTCTCTAAAGTAATTTAAATAATAAAAAATACTCTATTATGGCTACAATCAACTATTTTTATTTCTTTTCCGTCTTTTAGGTAACATAAGTATTGCTTGTTGGTTGGCAAATTCTTGTAACTGAACGTTAAAATACATTTTTTATCACTTATAATGTTGAGATATACTATAAAGGAACATATTTAAAAGTATATTTCCAAGGATTTGATTTTAACAACGATAGATATGGTAACAGACAACAAAATATAGGTGTGGATTTCTAAGGCAGTTATTGTGCAACGTTCCCATGTTTACTTTTGCGAAAAAAGTTGTATATGGCATTCCGTACATAAAATGTAGCAAAAAAAACATGGTAGTAAACTATTTTAAACATTCTGTTACTATATTTTAAACGAGTAACAACGAAATTCAGGACTCTGTTAGACATACTTATACACAAACAATCTACGCTTAAGGCTTAGACAATGCTTAAGACTAAATATTTAGATACGTTAGACTTATTGTTCTCAAATTGCAATCTGATTGCTTTATTTAATAAAATTATTTATTTAAATTACTTCGTTGTATACAACAACAAAAAATGGTACTAAATGGAGCATAAAAGTTTCGTATCAAACATGCTTTTTTTACTGTATAAGTTTTAAGGAATTGAATTCGCATTGAGACCGTTCAAATGGTAAGTTATTCGTTTTGAAAAAACGTTTTATTCAGTATACAGGCCCTCTAAGACGAAGAATAGGTCCGCCGACGCGATCTCTTACTGTTTCAAACTTTCAAATAACCTGCATGAACTCATCACCTTACCACTTCAGGGCAAAAATGATGGAATAAATTATGTTGAGTCAAATACTTGATATTAAAGGGTTAGAATAACAACATGGTTTGAACAAAGGCCTTATCAAATAACAACAATACATATATTATACTTTCGTCTGAAAAATTAAAAAATAAAACTTCTTAGTGTTGTGCTGTATATCGGAAAAAGCCATTTCCTTTTTGGTTAAAAATGTATGGTGAGTTATTACTTTTGCTTCTTAGTGGTTATGCGTATCCCATATCTATTCTTAAATTATTTCCTTCTATTTTCTAATAAAAAAAAGAGTGTATATTTTGATCAGACACAAAAAAAGTAATTAACCTTTCTTTCGTTAAAAACCATGTATATGACATATAGCAGGTCTACAATTTTTTTTAATAATGTAAAATATTGAAAAAAATACTGAAACAGAACTATTTTTTCAATACATTTTATTCATGAAATCAATAGGGGTTAGAACAATAAATAGCAATTTATAAGATACGTACAGTGCGTAAAGTGCTTAAGTATGTACAGTGAACCAAAATAAAGAGGAAAAAAAGGATCATTATAAATAACTTCTGATCTAATGATCGGATCATCACGTTCTGGGACTCAATCTTAAAGGTTCAAGAGAGAGACATTTAATAAGTTAATTAATTAGTGAAGATATTATTTTAAGCTGGGAAATCAGACACAAAAACGTACTTTTTCTAAATGAACATACCATTTTTCGACGAATTTTGACCCCCAAATATAGGGGTCAAACGCAATCTGGGTAACATGCTCCCCATAGTTTCTCAGGAAAACAGTTCAAAGTTTATAACCCTTAATGTAAATTTTATCTTCTACATGCTTATCTCGAAACTTTTGAAAAATTTTTGCACAAAGTTATAAAATTTGCTTTTCCAAAGATGATTCCGTGAAAAAATAAATTTCAGTAAATATCTATTATTTTTTATTATTTAGTAACTCCGAAAAAGTTTTGAATTGTCAAGTATACAATTTTAAACATCATTTAAAATTATCTAACTTAGCATGAAAAAATACAAAAATTAAGTGAAATCGGTCGGATAGTTTCTGAGAAAATAAATTTTAAAAATACAGCTTTTTTAAAATTTGATTTCTCCGGAACTATTCAACGAGTTTGCTCAAACTTTATATTTTGCCTTGTAAAATTAAATACGTAAAAATTATGTAAAAAATGTTATACCTTCAAGTTAAATTAAAAATAAAATAATAATAAATATTTATTGAAATTTATTATTTGTATAGAATCACTTCTGGGTAAACGAATTTCATAATTGTGTACTAAAATTTTTCAGTTTGATTAAAAAGTTATCGAGATATGGCCAAATACGTCAAAAGTAAATTTAGCATTCAGGGGTCCGAACTTTGGAAAGCTGTTCAGTGCGCCGCTCGAGCGAAAAAAAACCTGAATAACTTTTGATCTAATGATCGGATCTTCACGTTCTAGGACTCAATCTTAATAGTTCAAGGAGGTGACCTCAAACCAGTCAATTATAAGTGCAGACAATATTTTTAGTTACGAAATCAGACGTAAAAACGTTTTTTTCCTTCTTTTTTTTAATTTTTTTTTTTTAGAATAAATATGCCTTTTTCTGACGGATTCGGATCTCTGACCCCCAAAATATAAGGGGTAGCCGCAATCTGGAAAATATGGTCCAAATAGTTTTCCCAGGAGAGCCCTCCAAAATTTTCACCTCTTAAATTAATTTCGAGTCTTTAAGATTGAATTCCAGAACGTGAAGATCCGATCATTAGATAAAAAATTATTTAGGGTAATCCGTTATTTTTTTTTTTTTTTTTGGTGAAAACTGTACATTTATGCTAGTACATTTACAGTGATACATTTTAAATATTTTATTTTTCACATTATATGCAACAAACAGCAATAGTTAATGTAATAATAAGAAATGAAAGTTTATTAAATATAGCCTAATTTCTTATAATAAGAGTAATAACTTTTTCAAGTTTTATTGAAATATATTTAATCAGAAAAACAATTTATGCTCATTATTATTAATTTTTTTGGAAATGAAACTTTCATCTTTATTTACAGCTATGTTCAAATAAAATAATTAAATATCTATATATTCTTCTTTTTATTTTGAAGTTCAATTTTCCTTTTTGTCGGTAAATAAATTAAATGCCTTATTTAAAAGCCAATCTGAACTATTTTTTTAAGGTATTCTCTCAGAAGTTGTGTATTACGTTGATTCAATGTGTTTCCTTAAGAAAATCAATATATTTATATGTAATAAAAATACTGTTGTCTCAATCTGTTGTCAGAGCATTTGATCAGGTGATCAATAAATTTATTTAACTGGTATGACAGATTTCTCCGTTGTTGTCGGTATATTTTTATCGGCTGTAAAATCCAATTGTAGGATCCAGTTTTCCTTTCCATCCGGGGATCCAGTTTATTCTCATCAGCATAACATTAATAAAAGTCATTCAGGTACTGTTTTACAACAATATATTTTTTATCCCTAAGTTTAAGACTGTTACCTGTAATATTGATATTTTTTATTCTTTTCTACTATTATTACGCTTCTCATTTTGATTATTTTATAAGTTAAGAGTTTAAAACCAAACGAGTTGTTACTTTATTATAAAGTAATATTCTACGATATGACCATATTAAGATAAACTTATTTAAATCCTGACTCTGAATGAAAACATTCTAAGACTTATCAACTATTTTTTAATTGTAATTTTTTGGAGCCAGTAAATATAATATACTGTCATAAGCAGCTGAAGATATTCGTTGAGTAAATATATATTTGGCGATCAGTTTTATACCCAAAGTGATGCATGTACAAATTATCTATAATATATCAGCCTGGTTGATTAGTGAAAACAGCGAATAGAATTAGTGAATTCAGCAAATTTGTTATAGCGATCAAACCTTTCATTTTAAATTTTATTTTAAAAAACGAATACTAATCAAAATTACTTTTGTTCATTAATAGATTTTAGTATAATTCTAAGGTATATGTCAGGATGGAGGAAGTGCCTTGTTTACTGTGCACACAAAGCTCAATGATAGTTTTTTCTCAGCATAAAACAGTTTTTTCTACGAAAGTTGAAATTATTTACATAAATTATATGTACTATAAAGAATTCTGTGCGCATACGCTTGTGGCCCCTTTTCCAATGTTCAGAGCGGAGAAAAAAAATAAATAAAAGGACCTCCCCGAATAACTTTTAAAAGATCAGATCTTCAAGTTCAAGGATTCATTCTCAACAGCTTGAGTGAGTGACCTCAAATATTCTAATTAATCAATTCACTTATATCGCATGCATGCACTAATTAATTAGCATATTTGACATCACCCTTGTCACATTTACACTTAATGTAAAGTGACAATTAACTCTTAATTATATCTAATCCTTTAATTTTATTAAAACTTTATTCCTTTTTTTTTTCAATATAGCAATTATTTTTATTTTAACTTTTTGGTTGACCTTCATCATGGTCATCGTCCTTCCTGTGGGGGGAAGTCAACCCCTCTATTTTCCCCCTTTCTTTTACTTTTATTTTTTAGGGGGGCTAACCTAACCAATCTCTTTTCTTTTATTTTTCAAACTCTCCTCCTCTTTATTGTAATTGGCTGTAACTTTTCTGGTCCTACACCAGTTAACGAATTTTCAAAACACTTTTTATACATTCTCCTTTGGTGCTTCCTTCTTACTGGTTACTTTTTTTTTCCATGAGATGCGTACTTCAGTCCGTATTGAGAAAATTAATTCTTTTTCCTACATCCCATTTTTGTTTAGTTAAAATATTAATGTAAAATCTTTATAAATTTCAGTAATTTAATATTCTTTATATCAAACCTTTTATATCTTTAAATTTTATTCGTAAATCTTTAATGTTTATAAGTATTTTTGTATTTTTCTTATCGCTCTTTAAATTTACCTTCGATTCCAAGCCTTTATGAGATTTCTAATTTCTCCGCAAAAAAAACCCTTATCATTCGTGAAAAATAATATCGCTAAATTCGTGTTCAATTATCTGTTTTGTGTGTGGATGCGTGATTTAGATAATTAATAAAAATATATTCAGTTACTCATCTGTGAATCTTCAATTGATTGTTCCTCATCAATCTCTCCTGTATGTAGTGAGTACTTTTAATTATTGTTATGAGCACGAAAGAATTTATTAGTTTTTCTTATTGGAAAAATCATCTTTCAGTTAAAGGTTAAATTTGTATCTGGATATAGCATATCATTATCTTATTTATCTACTAATTTTTTATTTTGATTCATTTTTAGTTTTTACCTTTATTCAAAATTTGGTGAGAACAGTTTATCCAATTTCCTCAAACCTCACAGTTTGTGACCATTTGAAGTTATTGGGTTATTGTTATCCCACGATAGCATTGTATTACCACTTTCGTTAACGATCACGTTCCCCTTAATTTTATTACTAATTTATACTATTTTCAGCCTTAATTTATTTATTATGAAAGCATTCTTAACTATTTTTAATATGACTATATCCAGATACAAATACAAGTACTTATGCAAATATCTCAACCCAACATCATCCATTTTAATATAAAATGATTTTACTTTATTCGTACCATCATATTAGTTAATTTAACTGTAGCAACCCTCTCGAACCACGAAGAATGAAACCCAGAACGTTAAGATCCGATCATTAGATCAAAAGTTAGTCAGGGTGGGCCATTTTTCATTTTGCACGCTGTTACAAGTATTGTATCAATACTTGATTTATTAAATTTAAAGTTTATTTTGAGTCAAATTTGATTTTTAAATAGAGCGGAGGTCTCGTGGGATTTTGTGATTTGACTTCTTGATGAGTTCATATTAAGATCTATTAGTGATCATCAACAATTTTACTTGGATTTTATTTTTCTTAAAATAACATTTAAAATTACTGGTATATTGGGGCAAAAATTCAGTAAGTTTAAAATCATAATTTAACATTTTCGCTTACCGAACAGGCTGATGTATTTAGTACAATTCGCACATGAAGCTTTTTTTTAAGTTCTAAATCATTTAATTAATCTTTTCAGCAGTAATTTATTACACCATGTTAATGTAAATTGCACCAAAAATAATAAGTGTAAATAGGTTAACAAGTTTAAACACCGGTTCAAATAATATTATCTTGCAGTGTAGCATAATAAGTTAATTTCATAGAATTACGTTATGATGAAGAAATAATTTTAGTTTTAAACTCTTAAACGATTATTAAGTTAGACACCGATTCAAATTAGTTTCTTTTACAGTGTGGCGTATTGAGATAATATCATAGAATTTCTTTATAATAAAGAAACAACTTTTTTTAAAGTCTTAAACTCTAAACGGTTGGTAAGATTAGACACCGATTCAAATAAGACTGTCTTACAGTGTAGCGTAATAAATTAATGTCATCGAATTACGTTACAATAAAGAACAACTTTCTTAGCTTTAAACTCCTAAGCAATTAGTAGTTTTAGACACCAATACAAATTAGTTTATCTTACTGTTTAGCGTTATTAGGTAATATCATAGAATTTCTTCATAATAAAGAAACTAATTTTTTAGGTTCAAACTTCAAACGCTTAATAAGATTAGTCGCTGAGTCAAATAATTTTATTTTACAGTGTAGCGTAGTAAGTCAATGTCATAAAATTACGACGTTATAACGAAGAAACAACATTTTTAGTTTTAAACTCCAAACGGTTAATAAGATTAGACACTTATTCTAATATTTTTACTTTACAGTGCAGCGTAATAAGTTAATGTCATTGAATACTGGAGATTATAAAACATCAAGGTTTCAAAAACTATTTTTGGCTAAAAAGTAAAGAAAGTTGTGTTTAGAAATTGATATTGATATGATTATCAATAATTATTGTTTTTAAAGATATTATAACAATTATATACTGCCAGTTTTTCGTTAATTTGCCTTTTAGTTTTTCCGATTGCATAAAATATTTTCTTCCTTACCATTTTTTTATTTTAGTTCTCGAGTCTCAATTTTTATTAATTTTCGTGTTTAAGCCTCATATGAGGATTAAAAGAATTGCCAAGAACTGTCTTGATGAAAAGCAAGAAAAAAAATTCCGCAAACAGCCGGCTGTATGTCAGAAGGGAGGAATGGTATTTAAAAACTCCATAATATCGCGACCTCCTGATTGCGGTAATTTGGTCATCATCGTGCACAAGCCATCTTTGCTTTTCAGACGAGCTAGTATCTGAAGCTTGTATCTGAATCTAATCTTTCAGTGAGCTTTAAGTCGAAACCAAGATTCGATTCCGAGTACTTTAATAAAACAGCTCAGTGCCAACGCATGAGCCATTGAATCCCCTAAACTTGATAACTGGAAATCAGATCGTTAATAGTTGGTTTTCCACTTGCAAATTTAAATAATTTTCCTTTCAATTATAAGATTTTCTGTTTTGGTTTGAATGCTCTAAACAGCATAATGTTTCAAGTACAAAATGTAATTTATTTTTTTCAAACATGCTTAAATTAAACGAAAACCGATCCCCAGGTTGATTTATAAATTTTTTATGCATCTGTAAATAAAATATGAAATTTTTTGGGAGGGATGATTTTCGAATTCTTTCATTGCTGCATATTTTATACATTTTTCAATGTTTAGCATCAGATATGTCCTTAAATTTTTATATGTTTCAACATTAAATAAAAGAACTTATAACTTAAAAGTTTCAGAACATTTCAAAAATTTTTAAAAATTTTTCATCTTAAAATTTCCGTGTCCTCATAATTTAAGAAATATATTAAGAGAATTAGTTTTATCAAGTCTTACTCTAACTGATTTTTTAAACACTAAAAGTAATACTTAACACAAATGCATTTATTAGAATCTTACATGATATGAAAACACTATTGGCTGCATTTGTTTAGCAAAAAATACGTTAATAGTCATCGATATGGTATTTATACATTATAATAATTTTTTTAGAAAATACTGACAACCAATTTTTCAAAAATTATTTATAATCACTGATATACGATGCTTGATAATATAAAATATCGATTATTCATTTCAAGATTTTCGAACTCAGCAAAATTTATTTTTGTTTCACTGTAGAACATCGTCTGTAAGAAACAATATTTATTTTTCGTTCATTAGTCTCTTTAAATATGAACGGAAAGACGTATATTTGTATAGACGTATATTTACAGACACGAAACAATTTTAATTATGTAAGCTTTGTTTTCCTCATTTCACACGATTCAGGAAAGCAAACAAAAAGAAGGCTTTCCAATCTCATTTCAAAAATTTGCGATGTTGTATACGTTCACGTTGAAAGCTTGACATCCATTTGGCGAGCACTTAGATGCAAACATAATTCATACCTTAGGGATAATGGTTTCTTCTTAACTTACAACAGAGTGCAATTTTCAGTTTTTATAAATAATTCGAAACTTACTCCGGCTGCATTACCAGCACTTCAGATCTGATTCAGGGCAGCACCCTATGAAAACAAACAAAGCTCTTGAGGCATAGACAAATGATATGAATAATAGTAAAAATAATTAATTCCCAGACATCAGAAATGGTGAAAAATTATTATTTTATTGGAATGAGCTAAGGAATGTTCCTCAGAGTCTGTAAATATTACCGTTTTTTTATATCGCAGTTTCACAGTCGCAATATTTTAAGAGTTAGACTTAGATGTTGGGCAGCTCTGATGAGCAGGGCACATCCATCATAGGTCTAATTTATCCAGACCCTAAATGATGATTAGCAAAAAAGCTTCATAGCTTAAACAAAGTTCAACAAACGCCTGACATGAAATCTTGAAATTCCCAGGCCTTAATGCTATGTTGCCCTAAATGCTCAATTCTTTGAGCAGAATCGCAAATTATATGTTATGAAGTCTCCTCTTCAGGATGACAACCACCAAAAAGCTAATCAGATTCAATACCCATAATGAATAGGTGTCTGCTGAGGGTGCAGTGTCCAGTGAGAAGGTCAATGATCTTCCTCAAACTGTTCCCATTAAACTAAAGAAGCTCTTTTTTACTTACTCTAAGGCAGACACGAATTAACTGCTAAGTTTTTTCTGGCCATCCAAGCTGCGTTATTGCTCAAGGGGAATCTTGCCATTGAGCTTGAATATATATGCCCAGAAGGATTTCACAAAGCCCTAGAAAATCACACTGGAGCAAGCCCGTGATGCTTCATCAGCCAGCTCATTACCAGGAATACCAATAAGTTCACGCACCCAATGCAAGTAAACCTTGTTGCGAGAAGAAAGGCCACAGAGGACCGAGAAGAACTCTCACACTAGTGAAGATGTGAATTTACCCCTTGATAGTGATAGAAGAGCAGACTGATTGTCAGAGCAGATGTGAATAGATATACAGGGTGATCCCGAATTCAAGGTACCAACTTTAAGCGTAGGTACAGGATATTGTAACAATCACTTATTGTGTAGGAAGGTATTAGTGAAAATGACGAGGTGAGACGCAAACACAAATTGTTTATTGAAAGTGTCGCTTACATGTGTAATGTTTAAAATAACTGTTCAAATTAGCGCCCATCAGTAGCGATATATGCTTGACAGGATCGATGGTGTGATTGGCGTACACGTTCAAAGATACCAGGTATTTCATGCACACGTGCAGCAGCTTTGGATATTCGAGCAATAAGATCCTCATCTGAATCAAGTCACATAAACAAGATTCGTCAGATGTCTCAGATAAAAAGCAATCGAGAGATCGGGGTAGCCAAGAGGTCCTACTGGTCCACCATGCCAGTGCGAATTGTGCTCTGTAAATAGGACTATGAGCTATGAAGTCGGGCTGCAGCACACATTGCTGCGCAAACCACTGGCAGAAGCTAAAGTAGAGAGGATGGTCTGTCAGATACAAAGCTGGTACTCGCTGAAAATGGAAGGGGTGTAAGCGATTTTCGTTTAACACTCTACAAACGGTCTGGTGACTCACCTACGTGAAGAGCAACACACCTTGTAATTGACTCGGGTCTATCAGCCACAACGTTCAATATGCTTTCTTCCAGGCTTGAACTGCGTATAGCTCTTCGTCTACCAGCTTCATGTCTGGTGCTGTGGAACGAACCTGTTTCGCGAAGTTGACGATGTAACCGCTGAAAAATTTTGCGATCCGGCATTTGTCGATCAGAAAACTGCCATCATCAACTGATGACTCCTGTCATCAGTTGATGAAATCGCTTTTACCAATTAATATTTGCTGTAAACTGAAAAGTCTCTAAGACATGAAAAAAAATTTACTGCATGATTTACATACCTGTATTTATGTATAATATGCATGCAGACATGAATTGAAATCATTTCAGCATTTATTTTTCTATCAAATTTTTTGAAACCTTGTGAAATATGAATGCCCTTGAAAAATATGAATAACTTCTCGTAAAAATCATGAATAACCCTGTAGTAAGATAATTTTCAAATGTATGGATGTTCGCTAATAACTCGAGAACGGTGTTACGTTTTGGTAGTCAAAATTACGAAGAGTTAGTATTCATTATGTTATAATTGCTGCAAAAAAAAATTGCAAGTGTTTAGATGTAGAGGTAGAGAATTTATAGTTTTCTATTTTAATTTAGAAATTGTGATTTTCTCAATTAGTAAATTAAAGTAACTTGGATTGAAAGAAAAAAATTTCTTTGCATATTCAACATTCTAGTGACACACACCGTGATTTTTGATTGTTAACTCAGTTTGGTGCGTAAGAATATATTTCGAAAGAGTATTTTTTATCAGTGTAAGGATTTCGTACCTCCTTAAATGAAGGTTTTAATGAAAAAAGGTAAGGGAACCTGAACTTCGTTCACAAAAACGTACAACAGTTTGATAAAAGAATAAGGGCTAGAAGAACTATCAGATGAAATATTTAAACTTAAGACAAAAAAATTGATGCTTGAGTAATACCTTAAATGAATATGATGTGAAACAACTAGATACAATATGAAATTGTTAAATGACGAAGAATATGATCAAGAACTTGTTGTTATTGAAGAATGTAATATTGTAAAAATGGAACTTTCTAGAGTAACTTGTTGAAACTTATTTCAGTAGTAAAAGTGATAGCGCTGAGTCGGCGTCCACTGTCCTATATAAAATTATCAGAATTAGCAGAATAAGCAGTCCTGCAACGTTTCACATAAAAGTCACAAATGAAAATGATGAACAGGAAGTCACTCACCCTCAGAAATATTCCGAAGTGTACAATGCCTCATCAAGGTCGAAATTAATCGTATTTTTTCTTAATTTTCAAATGCTTATGTATCTATCTTTCGCATGAAATGACATTAAATTAAATTACTAGTCAAACTTTTATTCATTAAAACAAAAATTCATTTAATGCTGAAAGAATTCTTAAAGTTAGAGAATTAAATCTTAAACATTTTGAGAAGCTTAAAATTTATACAGATTTTGAAAATAAGCAAAATAATAAATGAAACGATCTTTGTTTATTTAAAATTCATAACGTATGTGTGTGTAATTTTAACATTATAGAATATAGATATATATCTGGTGTAACGTATTCGCCTTTTCCCTACATGTGTTAATAAAGTGGCAATGTCTGAAGCTCAATTTTTGAGGATTGCATATTGTTCTTAAAGATAACTGCTCACAAATATGTCGAAACGATGGTTTAAGCAGTTAAATATAAAAATATTTTATTTAAATTTTTCTAAAAGTTATTTTTATCTTTGTTTTATACGAAAAAGATTTTTTTTTAATTTAAAAGAAGAAAAAAAAATTTAATAGTATTTTTCTATTTAATTTTTATTTTACTAACACCAAGACTTTAATAAAATAATATTGAAATTTTAAAAGAACTATATCAATAAGAATTTTTACTTGAAACTACTTAATGATAAAATTAAAAAGAATATTCATTTGTAAAAAAAGGTTTAACTGGGAAAAACAATTATTCCAAAAATGGTTCCTACGTAATAATAAATTTTACCTGATCTCTTAGGGGATCCAGTTAAGTGACTCTCGGAAATCACTCCTAAAAAATAATTTATGAACTTAAGAAACATTCAAAACCAACTAAAAAATTGCACAAAAGTATACAGTAATTAAAACCAACCAGAACAATGCTTCTCTTTTATTACAATTTCTGCATTATCAAAAAGAATATTCATAAAAGCCGAAGCTTTACCATCGGTGTACAGATATTAAATAGCTTAAAATTTATACAAATTTAAATAAAAAGATAATAAGCAAAATAATTTTTTTAGCAATATAACAAACCAAAGGATCATAGTAAATTAACAGTAATAATAAAAATGTTCATTTAACATTATATGATAGAGATAAATAACTAAAGAAGCGTATTCTTTTTTTCAACACAAGTGTTAATTAAGTAGCTGCGTCTGAAGTTCAATTTTCATGAATTGCATATCATTCTGAAAAATCATTGCTAACAAATATGTCGAAACGCTGATTTAAAAAAGTAAAGTTAGTTGTAAAAATATTTTTCGCTTTTAATTTTATTAAAAATTATAATATCTTTATTTTATAAAAAAAAAATAATTTTATAAGATTATTTCATAAGAAAATACTTTTAATTCTTCAGTATTTCTCTTTTTTTTTTTTTTTTTAACGAACTATTTTTAAGATTTTAATAAAATAAAATAAATGTATATATCTATCGAAAAGAAGATAGAATTTAAAAAATACTCATTGTAAAAAAAGAAGGTTCAATTTGGAAAAATAATTATTTCACAATCGGTTTCTACGTAATAACTATTCTTACCTGATGCTGTAGAGGATTCAATTGCACCTCTTTCGGAAATAATTCCTAAAACGAAAGTAATTTATGAATTTTAAAAAAAACGCTCCAAACTGGAAAATTTCAAACAAATATAAAGTACGTACTAAATTGAAGTCAACTAATACAGTGTTTTTGTTTTACTAAAATTTCAGCATTCCCATTGAGTATTCATAAGAACCGAAGCTTTATATTCAGCATACAGATTTTAAAGAGCTTAAAATTTATACAGATTTTAAAAAATAACATAATAAGCAAAATAATTTTTTTAACATTATAACAAACCAAAGGATCATAGTAAATTAACAGTAATAATAAAGATGTTCATTTAACATTATATGATAGAGATAAATAACTGCAGAAGCGTATTCTTTCTTTCAACACAAATGTTAATTAAGTAGCTGTGTCTGAAGTTCAATTTTCAAGAATTGCATATCGTTCTGAAAAACCGTTGCTAACAAATATGTCGAAAAGCAGATTTAAAGCAGTTAATTGTAAAAATATTTTTCTCTTTTAATCTTCTTAAAAATTATCTTTATCTTTATTTTATTAAAAAAATTATTTCATAAGATTATTTCATAAGAAATTATTTTTAAATTTTCATTATTTCACTTTTTAATTTTTCACCGAACTATTTTTAGCATTTTAATAAAATAATATATATATATACTCTACAAAC